TTCTTGTTTCTCTGAGGTATGTGCATGCTGGGCACATGGCACAGCCGCAGCCTGAGCTGAACTGAGCCCTGGCCTGAGTTCCCCCACACCTCCTCTGGGCTGGGTGACCTCCAGGTTTAGAGCCTCCCTCTCTTTAAGGACCAGCTCCAGGCATTTCCAAAGAAATGCACTGCAATGGAAAACACATTTTCATTTCAGGTCCCCTTTAGCAAGTTAGACAGCAGTAGACGTGAGCGTTTGATTAAGGTGTGCTGCATCCATTTCCATCAATTGCTTTGTCTTTCCCTTGCACGGAGCCCTGCGACATAACTCAGTATCACTTATGGTAGACTGTGACTGAGAGATGTTTTGAGACACTGCCAGCACTTGGCCTGTTTGGTTTGCAGGGTTCGTGACACTATGTGGTAAGTCATGAGTATTTGTCCATGAGCTCTGGTCTCAAGTAAACCCAGAAGCCATGGAAAACCACAGAGCATCACAAGACTCCTGCAAAAAAACCCCACCATAAAACTATCTGTTTACTCAAGTTATGAACCCGTTTACTTCTGGAAATTGCTAAGTATTTTGGTAAAGTTATGGCAAACTTCCAGGTTATAAAAAGGACCCGAGATCTCATTACTAGCATTTCCCAGGGCAATAAAGAAAAAGATACCCCTTACCGTGGCATTCTCATTTTCTCGTTTTCCCTGCTGTTGCATTATTTCTTACAATTGGACGTGATAGGAAAGAGCTATACAATCTGTTCAGGGAACTGGAGCAGCACTCACAGCTTGGGGAAATTAAAGGCTACACGTGATAGCTATTAGTCCTGTGATACCGGGAGGGAGCGCTCGGAGATGAGTACAGTGTGAGGCTTTGAATAGGAACTAAGGGAGAACTAAAAAACATTAAGAGCATAAGGAGAAGATAACCTTGAAATCTCTCTGGACTTGAAGCCTCTCTCTCAACAAACACTCTGGGCACTAGTGTCCCCACAGCTGCCTGCATGCAGCTACTACGGCACTGCGAGGCACTGGCTACAAAGCCAAAAAGGAGCCTATCGCTTCTGGAAAGTTTCCCTGCCTGTCTTTCTCACCCAGAACTACTGGGAGGCTCAGAGATGCCAGACAACTTTTAAGTGATTTCCAGTCTCATTTTTACTGTTGAGGACAAGCATACCCATGAGCAGGACAAGTAGCTCTGGTGGGTCCAGGAGCTCAGTAGATGAAGCCCCGGGATAGCGGTTAGGCAAAATCAGCCTGGCAGGAGAAGCAGTCTGGGGTCTGCAGGACTCAGTTTCAGCTGCTAGAAACACCTTCTTTGCTCCACTACCTTATACTTCCTTCTGGTGTCTCTTGCAAGTAAATCAAAGTAATTGCGACTTGTGTTTGAATCTGGCCTACATTCTCCCGCAGCAGAAGGCAGAGATTTTTAACCAAATTAACAGCGCTGGAGATTTCATAAAGTGTGAAGCTCTGTCCTTCGTTATGCAACTAAAGGCTTTTTGGTTAAGGTTAGTGGGTTTCAAACTGGCTTCAAAAAGAGTAAACCAGCTCCGTGGTTCTGAAACTGGCATGTCGAGAGGCCCCTCCCCAGTGCTTTTACTGCCAGGCATTTAAATAAAATTAGAGTTAAGTGTTGAAGGAGAATAAAGTATAAAACTGATTAGCTGTGCGTGGCTAATAATAATAATAATCATAATAATAAAGCGGAAAATATTTTGGACTAAAATTAATGGACACATCTTTAGTATGTCATACATGAATTATCTGCATGACTTCCACCCATGTTAATGGGAGCCACTTGGCTAAATTTCTGCTCAGTGAGCTGTTAATTCACCCCTAAGGGATTAAGTTTAAATTTAAATTTACAAAAGCCATTTAATGTTAAAGCTGAAATGCTGTCTTGAATTCATACGGTTTTCAGAGAACAAAGGACTAGTGAAATAAATTAGCAGTGATTTATTAGTGTGACTATTGAATTTCCTGAATTTAGCGACTAATTTGTGGCGGACATATGTCATGACATCCTGGTTCTGACCAATACCTGGTTAGTGTGATATTCCGGTGTCCCAGCACCAGATGCTCCCAAACAGCTGATAAAAAATAAGTGCTTGATAACCTGTTTATAATAAGTTTTTTTTTTTCTAGGTACTGTCAATAGTTGGCTTAAGTTCTGATATAGATGTGACCCAGGATTCTTTAGTTTATATTTTACTTCTAATTCTCTCAGAATCCTTCTGAATTATGCACCACTCATATTTAAGCGTTGAAATTCCATATAGATCTACTGTGCAAAAAAATCAAATTCCTTTTTATCATTTTAAATTAGTTCCCTTTCAACCTCTCTCAGACCCTACTTGTTCTTTTCTTAAGGAAAAGATTATTTAGGAAGACCTAATCTTCCTATTTTCCTGTTCACTATTTTCCATCTTTCACTGTGTCTTCTCTTACTCTCATTTTTTTCTAAATGAAATGATACAAAACTTTGGAGTCACTTTCCTTACAAATGTTTTCAATGTGTATCTTCTCTTGTACCTCTCTTGATATATGTTTTTGGCTTCTGTATACCTTTTCTACTCCTGCCTGTATCCTTCTAAGCACCAACGGTCAAAACCCAGTATAAGCACCCACCAATTTATCCAGGCCATAATAAGTATTTGCTGTGTTACTACCTGTTCACCTCCATTCCTGTAGAAGACTGTCACTTGTTTTTTTCCCATCACCAATGCGCTAAACAACTGTTTTCCTGAAGCTCTTCACAGTGATTCACTACTTGACCTTTAGTCCAACTTCCACCCCTCGTTTCTCCCTCCTCCCCTCACGCACCCAGTGTTACATGAATAAACAGTCGAGACTGCTCGTCCTAATGCTTGCTGCTTTTCTAAACTGCAGTTATAGTGACATAGGCTTTCTGAAATCCCGCACAGCCTTCTCTGCTGTTAAAGTATGTTATCTCCTGTGCTAGCTGTCATTTTTGTCACCTCTCTGTTCACCTCTCTCCAGATTGATCATACATAAATAACACTTAATCCGCGTGCTAGGGGCACCCACAGGTAGCCACTTCCTATGTAGAAAATTGCTCATCTCTTTTCTCTTTATCTCTTAACCATCTTCTAATCCACCTCTGATCTTGTCTGGTCGACTGTTTGCTCTCTGAAGGAGAAGTGCCAGGTCTTTTACCATTCCTGTACAATGTTGTGGTGCTGTATAAATATTTACTCATACATAAGGCCTTCTGAGTTCATTTTATCAGCTCATAGTCATCTAGGTGTTTTATACCTATTAATTTTTTTTCCAATTAACTTTTCTACCACTGAGATAAGGCTTTCCACTCTGTAATTACCAGGGTCATCCCCTGCATCTTGTTTAAAAGCAGATAAAATATTAAGTATTCTCTAGTCCTAGCTGATGTGGAGTATGCTGTATTCTGCAGTTAATTGTGAGAAAAATCTCCTACTTTGGAAAAGAGTAACCACACTGCTCACAAGGGAGGCAAAGGTCTGACCTTCAACAGCCTTCTGCTATTGCAGCCCTAGGGTCTCCTGGGTTAATGCCTTTATGGTGTGAGCCCACGTGACATCCAGATCTAAAGTCCATAAAGTTCATTTTCACTTGAGACTTAAGCCAAGTGGCCAATCAGGCTCTTGTAAGAGATATGTGTCAGAAATTAAGTCAGCATGGCATGCAGCTACCTGCTTTCAGACAATTGAAAGGATAATAACAAATAACTTTCCTAGATATGTTCACTTTAGTGAACATTTTTCACGTCTGGTTCTGAAAATATTGATTCAGAGGCAAGAATATAAAATGCTCTTCTTTGGTTTTTTTTTCCTCCCTAAATGTGTTCTGAATGGCTTAAAAAGAAATATGATGGACTTTGTTTTCATGCAAAAATTTTGCCTTCCTAAAAAATTGCTGAGTGGGGAAAAAGCTAAGGCCGAAAGATTCAGCTGCTTCCTACAGGTAATAAATCTGGAAGGGAAGAGAGTTTACAAGTGACTTAATTGTCATTTCCAAGCACAGTCGTAAGTGTAAAAGCTATAGCACACAACAAGAGGAAGTGCAGTCAAATGCCTCAAGGAACACATGTCTCTGTATTACTAAAAAGAATATTTCCAGTGGTTGTAGCAGTCCTTTGCTGGGAAAAATCAGTCCAACATAAGGCTCGTTCTTGCAACAAAGTTCACTAGGATGCTGTGGTAACATCCACACAGAGAGGAGGCAAAAGTTTTCTCCAACTTCTTCTAAATTAACTTACCCATAAATACCTGTTAACACCCCTTTCTAACACATACATAACCTCCTTCCACTCTGCTCATTCGCTACTTCCAAATGTAAATCGCTGGGCGATTGTTTGTATCCACCGTATATCCCAAAGGCAGAAGTTAATCAATAAAATAGCAGAAGTTCTGAAAAAAGAGAAACTGCAGTATCCTGAAGCTGTGCTGCTACGTATATATTGTAATGTGACACTGAAGACATTAATATTAAACTTATTTAAAGTCAGGCCTTCTTGCAGGTTGACTCTGTGGGCTTACTGCAGTGGAAGGTGTGAATGCTGCTCCACGAGGTACCAAGCCGGTATCTGGCACGGACAGCAAAAGCAATGACGTTATCTAAATCTAGGCTCCACTCTCAAGCTACCCAAACCTGTCTGGAAGCCTAAGCGGATCCTTCACCTCAGGAAGAGTGGTGACCACAGCGGGCATTCACTTAAACACTCTCAATCATAACATCTTTGCCTATGACACCTCACTGTGGTCAGTGATTTTTGCCCATTGATTTTTGCACTGCAGATCCACCATGATAATCAATATAAGCATGATAATATAACATGATAATGATAATATAACATGATATAGCATAATGATAATGATAATGTAACATGATATAGCATGATCAGTATAACATGATAATCAACATAAGCAGCACACATAGCTCTGAGAAAAGCCTTCAGGATCCACATAAGCAATAAATACCCGAAAGAAGTACCAAAGAAAAGAAAAAGAGTTAAAATACCTCATGATATTTTTTCACTGTTTTCCCTGACATGCATGTGCAGGATTTCCAGTTCGAAGTCCCACAGCCACAGTTTCCTCCGCAGCGCTGGACAAGGAGGCAGCGGGGGAAGAAAACTACATTTGTCAGCTTCAGTTCCTCCCTTAAATTGACAGAGTAGTTTCTCGGAGTGCAGCTGTAACGCTTCACATCATCATTCAACCTGTCCAGGTCAACTGCAATGCAAAAGAGGTTTGAGTGGGACACTTCTCTGGTTTATACCACTCCCCAGGCAGCCAATAACACAAAGTGATGTGACACTGGTTGGAAAATGTGCGAAGTATAGCAGTGATTTCTGAACAGATAAACGTAAACCCACCAATTTTAAATCATTACAGGTAGCCATCCAGACTCTCATCCTGCTCCCACTGACTCCCATAGTGGAGCTCACACTGACTATAAAGGTGAAGGGAAGACTTGAAGTGAAATGCTGGTCTGAAAGCTGAAGACTGGTTATTTTATTTGCTCTGTCACTGATCTGCTGGATCCTTGGGTAAGAGATTCCACCTCCACTACTGTCTTCCTCCCCCTGCTTATACCTGGCTTACTTAGATGATGAGCTCTTGGTTTTTTTATTATGGGCACAATTCCTTTGGCCTAACTGCAGGTATACAAAAGGCAAACACTTTAAACAAGGCTCTTCCTTTTGTCAGAAAAGAAATGCCTTCGGAGAGTGATTCATCCCTTCCTCAAAAGGGCAGTTAGGACGGGTGGCATGACTTGCTTTCTCAAGTTGCCTGTCTATATTGTTTATGGATAGAGTCTAGATAACTGACAGAGAAATCAATCTAGGCAATATTAATTTCAGCTGGTAAATGCTACTATAATAGGCATACAAACAAATACAATTAAAACTAATGAGCTTCATTGAATGCCAGTAGTTGGTTGATGTTTAAAAGGCCGGTATCTCTGTGAGATGTGTCATGCAAACAAGTAGTAAAGCCAACCATAAATATAACTTACAGATTATCAGCTGTGAGCTTAAGTGCTGTTTCTAGCTTTAGCTAAGCTAAAACAAAACAAAAAAACCCCTCCCTAAGTACATTTTCCACAATTGTAACACAGATAAAAGTAATAAATTCAATGAGTTTTATGTCTATGGAAGTCTTCTGATTTCTTTTTCCCTCCTTTTCTACTTTCTTCTTTCTGTCCAACAACTAAGTGTCCAAAAGTTCAATAATTCATTCAGGATCGGAGGACATGTGAACTTGTGTTTAGAAGTGAGGTCCTCTGGATTGAAACTGAGAATCAGAAAGAGAAATAAAATGCATTTTGAACTCATCGAACTTGAAAGCTGAAAAATTCATCTTCTTTTGATTCAGATCTTCAAATTTCAGAAAAAAATGGAAAACTGAAAATCAGAAACACTGTGTCTCACTGACAAATCATTAATTATACGAACATTCTTTTTTAAAAGACAAGTAAATTACACTCAAAATATAAATTAAGACAAAGAACAAAGAAAAATAACAGAAAATGACTGGAGGGTACAGCAGACTAAAAAGAAGCCTTTCCCACCCCAAACACTATTTTCTAACAAACAGATACATCAACAGGAAAACAGGAACGGCTCAAATGAGAACCGAGATAATGGTCTAGTGTTTGTGAACATTTCAGATTTTCATGGGCATGTTTAATAGCTCGACACCATCTCTGGTCCTGAGTGCACCTATGCTTGTGCGTTACTATAAACATGTGAAAACCTCCAACAAAGACAGGAGCACTACAATGCTTCATACTGACTGTGACTCAGCCCTTGTCAACATCACAAAGTAAATCGTGGAAAAAACTGTGATTTGTAAATATCACGCACCTTTACATTCTGGCCTGGAGATATTCACAAGGCAGATATGCAAGAGGCAAGGGTACGTAAATGTCATGAGTGCTATTATAAAATCATAGCAGCTTCACTTCTCTGGCAAGTCAAAAAGAATTTAGCAGATAAATTGCGATTTTATAGCAATTGTGATACTTCTCGCCATGAAATCTCAGTGGTTCTCTCCAGAGAGCTAGCATCTCTCCAAAAGAGGTATAGATCATCCTCCTGATATAAGCACAAAATCAATGGGGCTGCTGGTATACTCATGCACTGGGAGGAAAATACAGTCCGAATGTCCACAGCCAGGACTTAGAAGTCCAGAGAATATTGATTTCTTTGCTTTAACAGATGATATTTTTTTCTCCCCTGTCATTCCCCAAAGCCACCCCTTCTCATTGCAGGCTCTCAGGCTAATTCTTCTCGCAGGGAAGTGTTTCCCACTCCTCTACACGTTCTCATCAGGACCTTTGCCATCAGCTTTGCTTACTGATAAAGCAAAGAGGTATCTGGCTACTATTCATTTCAGCCAATTGACATGAAGGAAAAAATAATCAAAGGAAGAAGAGGGCAGAGAATATTCTGAATAATGAGATTCCTTGAGGGGAAAGACTCTGGCACGGCAGCAACCCAGGGGAATGGATACCGATACGAGCAGGCTCCTATTGGGACAGGCTGGCCGTGGACCAGGATGGCATTTGCCAATGGCACATCTCTAGACAGAGTTAGAATAAAATGCTCAAAGGCTTAATTCAGCCTGTGATTGCAATGCCTCCTGCTGAGGCAGCACAAGAAACAAGGCTTCCAGCAACAAACTGGTCATTAAAGAGGGCCCAGACCCAGGTCACGTGAACCGACATCTGTGTCCAGGAGAAGATGTCCAGGGCACTGAACAACATTTGCTCTATCACAGATGAAATTTCCCCTCAGGCTCAACAGTCCTCCTTCCTGCATTGAGCTGATACCTATTATCACTGCTGTGTTATCAACACAGAAATGAGTCTTTGTAACGAGACTGGTGGAGAGGGAAAGCACTGGCATTTAAAGGACCAGGGTGGGGGGGCTTTCCTGCAGAGAGCATATTATATCCATCACAGTGTTACACATATTAGCTTCAGTACTTAAGCTGCTCAATTTAAACGGTAAGGAGTGACCTGGCAAAGGGCTTTCACTGGAGGGAAGGCTTTGCTCACTAGCCTTCAAAAACCTAGTTCTGATGACTTTCAGAAGTCTTTGCAGGGTCTCTTAGGCTGTAGCTGAGTCAGTACTGTGGAGAGCTGTTGACTTGCTTGAAGCATAGGAGGGAATAACCGGATAATTGGGATAATTTTTTCCCTATGCAGTATGAAGGATCAGCTATTTTCAATGAGGACTCAAAACTTTTTCTGCATGCATTCTTCAGGAATTCTGAAACCAACAAGTAGCAAAATACATTTTATTTAGTGTATTTTTCTATGATGAACTATTTTTGAAAAACCTATGGGAAATTTTCCAATGGAAAATTGTATGAATTCTCCTTGTTTTCCTACTCAAGGCATTCTGATCCTCACTTATAAGCAGTTTTCAGGACCTCAAATCCCAGAGTTATCAGTTAAGATGTGAATTCTCTGCACTTTGGCATTTCTTGGGTATCGGAGTCCAGGTTGAAATGGACAAATACAGTAGCAGAAAGGTCTTATTTTAGTGATGCTGAAATCACAAAAATAAATAACTTCAAGCAGAGAAGCAAAGGGCTTAAGAGATACACAAGTCATTCTCATGTGGAGGTAAACACCTACGCTCTTTTTCACTCTGCTCTACAGAAATCCAGCACTTGGTGGGATAAGGTAAGCGTGCAATGTCTTCCGTGAACAGTGTATACTGTACCCTGGTAGTATCACACTGACACCCAAGAACAGCTCCCATTGCCTAATTAGCTTTAGACCATGGTTTGCAGCCCCCTAACAAAAGAACACATTTTGCTCTGCACAACTCTCTCTGCTGAAAGCTTCGATATGCATTTTTCCCCGTCTTGGGATTGTTTTACTGTCTGGAGCCAGTCCATTTCCTCATCCATATAACAATGAGATTTTACAGTACAGTCAGTTTCATGCATCACTTCACCGCTGTGACTAAAATGTAACCAAGCCTTGGTGTGATTGGTGTGAAATCCTGCTGCTTTACTTATCAAGGACTGAAACCACTGGAGTCCTTAATTTAAAACTAGAACTAAAAGGTTCTGTAGACTGGATGCAAATAACTTCAAAGTATTATTACAGAATGTCTGCATTAGAGATTCAATTTAAAGGCAAGGCAGACATAAAAAGATGCACCGGAGCAGTAAGCTGGATACCTGGGGTACAGTGGTTACCCCCTCCTCCCCCTTAAATCCTATGCTTAAACCCATCCTCATTTCACATAGCGCTATGGCATGTGTTTACCTTGAAAAATTGATCTTAATCAGAGGTCAGTGCTGAAATCAGGGACTGCAGCTAATACCATGTCTTATTCAGAAGGGACAGCCTTAAAGATTGGAGGGGAGAGAAAACCTGTGCTGCTGGTCACTGATTAATTTTAAAAAGACAGGCGGTCTGTTAGGGTTTCTTTTAACACTTTATCTGTTCCAAATTCATACATGGCCCTAGTATTGTCATATCTGAACATTTTACACTTTTTTTCATGCATCAGCCACAGACCAGAGCTGAGGTGTAAGAGGTGGTAGCCGCCTTGCCACAGTATTCCGATACCACACGTACCACTTATGGGTACAAGTTATTCCTGAGGAGATTCTGATTGGACACAAGAGGAAAAATTTTCACAACAAGAACAATCAGCCATTGGAATAATCTCCCTAGGGAAGTGGTATATTCCCAACACTGGACACTTTTAAGATTCAGCTGGACAGGGTGCTGGGCCATCTTGGCTAGACCGTGCTTTTGCCATGAAAGGTTGGACCAGATGATCCTTGAGGTCCCTTCCAACCTGGTATTCCATGATTCTCTGATTCTATGTCAAGACCATCTACAAGCAAGGCAAGAAGGATTCAGACAGGTGCAGACCAGTCAGCTTAACCTCAGCCCATGGTAAAATTAAGGGTAAAATCCTCCTGGAAGCAATGTTCATGCACATGAAAGACAAGAGGGTGACTGGGAACAGCCAGAACAGATTTATCAACGGCAAACTGTGATGGACCAATCTAAGAGTCTACTACGATGAGACAACCATCTGGCTGGATGAGGTGAAAGCAGCAGAGGCATCTGATTTTTGACAGTGATCCATAGCATCCTTGCAGCCAAACTGCTGAGATATAATGGGATAGGTGGACTACAAATTTGGTAGATAACCAGAAGGTCCAAGAGGCTTGAGCAAAATGATCAGCAA